GCACAACTCGTAAAAATACTCAGCGATACTACACAACAAAACGTCAAAAAGCTGACGTTTCGAGCGTTAGCCCTTCGTCATTCGCTCTGAAAAAATTTTGCGAGCACGGGCAAGCGAGCGCCCGTGTAATTCTTTCGAGCAATTCGATTGGTTATACTTCGACAAGTGAAAGAGCCGTACGCCATTCTCATTGACCGTATATGCTTTTTTCACATGTGAAAATTAAGCGTATAGATTTGTACAAATGAGCTTTAGGGAATAAAATTCTCGTGTTATATATAATAAAGCTGTATATAGCCGTGTATAGCTGTGTAGAGCCTTATATAGCTGTAGATAGCCGTGTAGAGCCCTACACAGCTGTATATAGCCTTTTAGTATATACAAACTCAGTGATCTTGGCGTTGTTGTATATAGCCCTATATAGTTGTATATAGCCATGTACAGGTGTGTATAGCTCTGTATAACTGTATATAGCCCTGTATGTTGTATATGTACTGTTGGGACATCTTATGTATGTTAAGTATACGACATTATATATATTGGGACATAATAATTCCCCATACATGACGTACGTACGATCACTTTTGCATATCAGCAATTTCCGAATCAATCATCAAAGTAATATACAGTACGTAACTGTCAGTACTGTATGAATTCAAGGCTTCAAATGTGTTTTTTTCCTTTCCCTAGTCGGCTGATGAGTGCGATAAGCTTTAGTCAAAATCTTAGACAGTTTTACTCTCAAGTTCTAGGGTTGAAACAATTTCAGTTCTTGACAAATAATTTCTTGCCATTGGGCCGGGCGATTGTAAAGGAAAACAACTGCCGTTTCTTATTTATAATTCATGTGCGCAAATATATAAACATAGCTAACCAGTTTCAATATTGCAGCACTTCGACCCTTGTGACAACAGACACGGTGTATATTTTAAAAAAGGAATTCTTTACACCGACAGGATGTCCACAAAATATTACACGCTCTGGGCAGATCCCTGCACCGTTGGCCGAAAGACCTTAAACGTTTATTCCAGAGAAGGAATATCCTCAGATGAACCTAGAACGCCGTTAGTTCTCGGGCCCAAGCGCAGGTTGACATCTGTTAAGGAAGTTATATACAACCCGTGCCTTCCTACTTTAAGGCGAATGGATATGGATGAAGTGTTGACGAAACTAACAGATGAACATTCGCGGCACTCAACACCGTGTAACAAAGGTGATTATGACTTGCTATAACTTTGTAATGTTTCACAACTTCTAAGTATGTCTGTTATATAGTGTTTCCTTGGCAACCATGTTTCAATTCTGAATATTGTTATGATCTACGCTTAGCGTATTTTTTGACAACTCCAAGCAGCTTTGGATGTCGTGGGAAAACAAAGTGGACTTCAGTTTTACTTTCCAAAGTACACACTTAAGACTTCCTTCGTATGGCCTCTAGCACGCTAAAATTTGCAATTTGCGTGTACGTTCCAAAATTAATTCTTCACGGTTCACAGAGCTTACGAAAAACAAAACCGTTTCATAATGACCATTCACGTTACAACACTGTTCTTGCCATTTAAATTTTTTTCGGTCAAATTACAACGTTGGTTGCAACATTTTATTTCTTTTTTTCTCAAGAGACGGAAAGGGCAATATTTCCTGAAAATCGATGGCAGTTATCTTTTTCGGTTAGATAAGTACGTTAATTCCTTTTCTAGGCAAACAGTGGTTAGAAACGGCTTAAGCCGTAAACTGCATCAGCATCGAAGTATTTTTCAGTTCTAAACTAGGTCAGCTCTACATGCATTCCAAGTGTGAAAACGACCAGAGCTTGATTTACGTGAGGGTCGTCTAGTGCCCGTTCCCCTTAAGCCAGCGCGCGGGTCTACTTTATTACCTGGCTGGCAATAATTAGCCAGCTGTCCCCAGTTGAACAAAAACAAAGGTGATTCAAATAACACGCACTTAGTTACATTACACGCTCTGGTAACAACTTCAAATCGACTTACACTGCCCTGCGGCGATCAAGGAGACGAAGGAGGCTTTTGACAGCGAAAATGTCGCGTCATTTACAACTCGCTCTAAGCAGCCGTTACTATGACAGACAGGGCATCAGATTTAGCCAACATGACGCCGTTAGACCGCATGGAACAGACTACGGCTATTCGCCTCCTCGGAGGATGCTGGCTGCAGTGAAGGAAGGAATGATTCATCCTAAACCACCGACATATCGGCAGATAGATCGCGATAACACACTTTGTAAACTGCCAATAGAACATTGCAGGAATTCAACCTCCAGACAGGCCGGTGAATATTGATTATTATTTCCTTTCTTATTCTCTTTCTCGATAGTAGTTATAAACTTTGTTTATTTTAGCAGGTTTGTAATTTGATCTTGTTCGTACTGAGTTTAGTGCTAACGCTTCATAACTCCAAAAATTTCTGCTATTCGTAGCTGCCTTTCAAACAGGCGTAAATCATTATGCGACACTTAATGCGCCTTGATTTGCGTAAGGAAGTTTTTTTCTGCTAAAAGCGATTTTTTGTTCTTATGGCTGCCGAATTTTCGCGAGCCAATTAACACTCGAACATTTTTAAAGGTTTATTTGATTCCCCATCAAAACATCATACCAAGGCAAATATATTCATATCAGTTGATACAGTAAGAATTTTCGCTCTTTGTTTTGTATGATTACGCTTTGAAGACAAATGAAGCCTTGCTAACTTTGACCTTGTAAAATTAAACATAACCATACGGTCAAAGAAACTCAAAATAAGTGAAAATACAAATTCTCTTGATTAAAAATATCTTATGCTCTGCTCTCTTGAAATTGGCTAAAAGAAAAAGATGATGAACAACACAACATGCCATAGCAACCACGCGCGTGTGCATGTTGACTGCGTGACAACCGCGCGCGCCTTGATCCGTTCTTCAAAATCCTTGCTACAGTATCTCTCGTTGGCTGGATTTTAGAAAACTGCACATAGGTGAACTAATAGCCTGTCATGCTGGACAAAAGGATACTTTTTTTCCTTATCACATTTAGTTTGTAGTGTTAAGATCAACAGGCAGATTTCAGCAAGTTTTTAAATTTGGGACACAACAAAAGCCGTAAAACAAATAGTGAGAGTACCGCCAAGTTTTTTCTCCTTATCCTATAGTTTAATCGATAAAATCAGCTGTTTATTTATTCCGTGATTTTTCGCATGAACCACCTATTGCTTGAAGAATGAACATTTTTGACATTTTGACCTCTATCCGATTTGTAGACATTGACAACTAAACATTTCATTGTCTTCAAAATTATTTAACTTTTCATCGGATAAAACTTTAATACGAATAAAACGGAATATTCCGTTGACAGACGAATGCCTTTCTTAGTTTAAGCAGCAAAGGTCGCCTTACTTCTAAAGATAGTTCTAACTGTTCTGCCAATTAAGTTTACGATCAACAAACCTCAGACTCAAAGGCAAGCAGGCAAAACAATAAATAATTATTGAATCTGACATCTCTGAATGCGGGGTTTAAATATTACAATCCGTTGTCAAAAGGTTAGTTTAATTTTCGGTCAGGATGTTTCCAGGCGAAGCAGGGCGCCCTCCTCTAACGCTAAACTGGAGCTAAATCGACTTTTACCTTGATGCAAATTAACAGTCACCTATAAATTAATATTTTCACATTGGCTCATTAACTCAGTATGTGGTCACTTTAAGGTTCAATTCCCTCAAAGGTGGTAATTAATTTTAGCCAGTTCCTATACTTCAAGTTCAAGGTACACTGAGACTGATCTTCAAACGGCAATGAAGGATTACGTGACCATTTGATTTGAACACTTAAATTAAACTTGCCTTTTTAAGAATGAAATTCTGCCATGTAATTATGATTCGAAGCGGAAATTGTCGCGGAGTCGAACCCTCTTCTACGTCAAAAACACTGATTACCTCACAAAGGCTTTGCTCATCACTGATTGGCGCAAACTCGCGCACCATTGAAAGAAAAATTTTGACACCTTGTTCAGTGTCTACAGTCAACACAAGCCGGTCTGAATCGCTTCCGATCAAAGGGAATAATTTCTTCCTCTCCGGCGAAGTTTCTTTCCAGTTTGGTCGCTGCGACCGCGTTTTCTGATGCCGATCACAACTCACACGCGCGTTAATCCGCGTTTCTCGGGCAGATCGCATATGCTGGCCTCAGTGAAAGATGGTCTCTACCACCCGATGTTGCCAACATTCCGGCGTATGGACATGGATACGGCAGTCCACAAGTTACCGGAAGAACACTCACGCACTACGACTCCACTGACACAGGGTACAGATAACGAGATTGCAAAAGTAACCGTAAGTTATCTTCCTCTTAAGAGGTAGTACTTCAGTAGTAATTGTCTTATGTTCAATTTACTTTTCAGAGGATTTTAAAAGCCAAACCATCACGTTGTTCAGACCAGCTGAGAAGTCGTTGTCAGGCACGGTATGTTGTTATTTGTCGCTAGACAGTACGGATTTTAGGATAATTTTTTTTAGCAGAGTGCATGAGCAATTATTAATCAATAAACTCAAGGAGAATTCTTTTCTTTTTTGTTTTTAAGAGAATAACCGAGACAGGGCGACAACTTCAATCTACCTCCTACCAGCCCATCGAATCAGGGTAAGACCTTTTAATAATTTACGGGTTTGCGCGCGAGAATATGTGATTTCAATTGGTTGGAAAGTGTGAAAATGTTTGCCTAAACAGAATAAAAAATATGAAATCACACTTCATAACCTGAAAAACTGTCTGGAAGAAATGGAAGTCATAGAAGAACGGAAGTGAGAGTATATACCTGCAATAATTAATCTTGTTCTTGGCAAGTTTTTGCTAACTAGAATCCATGGAAGCTTGCGGCAACTTTTGCAAACTTTTATGTTTTACCTGAGTTCGTTTGAAGCTTTTAAAGTGAATTTTAACGATTGCTGGAGCCATTTTCCTTACAATTTCAGAGGCTTTTTTCTGATTATTTAAATTTTCTGCATTGCTTCCATAGTTTGAAAGGATTTGTTTACCGTTTTTGAAGTTTCTGTTGACAGTAAAATCTTTGCAGAATACCAGATCTCCCGGAACAAAAACAGCGGGCTTATCAGATTAGCGCCAAGACAGTGCCCTTGATTTAAAAGGCAAATCAAAACACCCCGCATTCAAAACTTGAACAATGACAAATGAACAGCGCAACAATACATCATTACATTGGATTCACATACAGTATTTCCGTTACTTGCTTTGACCTTTAAATCTTCAAGAAAGTTCTCGAGAAAGCCTTTCAATCTTTACGTGAAATTGCGCAACTCTCGCTTTTTACTGCGAGAGTTTTGTGCTCTGCTAACTTATTGAATTTGAAAGGAAAGAAAAAAGACAAAGAAGAAAGAAAGAAAACTAAGGTTTTCATTGTTTTCCCTTGGAGATAATAATTTATCAATTCTATTCCAAATGTTGATGAGGCTTATGTTTGAAATATAGCTCAAAGTGTCCAGGACTAAGAGGACAGCCCTATTATCAACGTTTATTTTTTTGATCGCGGAAGTGCTACGGGAGAGCGGTAGCAATTCTAAGTGGCAAGAACAGCTCGTGCAAACGAGAAGTCGCGTATGAAGGCCTGGGGAAACTCTCTTTCACTGCGCGTAATCGCCCGCAAACGTGTTACCCATGTTCACGCCGAGCGCCTGCCATGTCTGAAATTTCTTTTTGCGTCTTCACATCTTTACATCTTCTATGGACAAACCACTAAAATATCTTTTAAATGCCAAAAGTTAAGAATATCTCAATAGTATTGTTTTGCCGCAATTTTTTTTTTTTTTTTTAATAATTTTTTTTTCCTGTCGCAGAGGCATGGCAGAATTCTTAAAGCGATCGATGACGTCACAGTCTCAGAAACAACCATCCCCTCTTCCTCCAAATGGTTAGTGCAATCGCCTTGTGACAAAATGATCATAATAATATTAGTAATAATAATAATAATAATATTTATAAAAGTAATGATGACAACAAAACTAAACTGTAAACATTGTGTAAACATAGGTGGAAAACAGAATTTGATCATTTCCTCATATTCCCTCAACAGAACCATCAGAGCCATACACATTTATGCCTGAACCATATCTCAAGTATTCAGCTGATCAGATGAAATTCAATGGTTATGCAACAAGATACCTGTCGCCAAGGGAGACCGGGTCATGGAGAGTAAGTGAATTCAGAGAAATAATTATTCATTTTCAGTAATGAGGCTTCATGTGGACGCTGAATGATAAGAGATGCGGAATATCAACAACTGTTACTGGAGTCAGGCAAGCGACCACAGAATGCAAATTACTCTGGGATGAAACAATGTAAAACAAAGCTTAAATGACTGAAAAGAAAATGATTTGTTTCTTTTTGTTTGCACAGTACTCCCTCAGACAGGAACCCTACATTGACCTAAGGGGTCAGCGACCCATTCCTGCCACCATTTAGTAAGTGCATCATTTCATGAATGGGTTTGCTTCTAATTTCACTGGGGAAGCCGGGATCTTGGTTCAGATGTGTTTATGATGAAATCCCTTGTGCTTAATTTCCAATGCTTTCTTGAGTTTGATCCATCTCTCCTCAGAAAGAGATCCAGAGGTGGCTCAGGAGGGGCAGGTAGGGGAGAGGAGTGAGGCTCATTCCCTGAACAGTGGCTGCTTTTAGGGCAGAGAGCACCCTCCTTTAACAAAACTTTAACAGGATGTATGGGGTCTCTTTCACAATTAGAGTCTCACTGGAAATGAAGTTGACCAGCCTTTCCCTACTGGGGAGTTTTTCTTTTTAACAGAGGTGATGAGGACACATGCATTCTTGAACTCCATGCCTTTAATCCTTATTCATTGTTACGGTAACAATTAAAATGGAGTTTTCAGCAATTAGGACATGGTGATCCTTAAGTATGCCTCCACTAACTTGTTTTCATGTTCACGGAAAGCTTAATAATAAATTCCATAATTTGAATGATTAATTCATGTTTTTATAAAGCCAGCACTGATTTTCTCTTCTCTTCTTGATTTACAGTAGTCGCTATCGAGATGCTCATCCAAGAGCCAGGTAAATGTTCCTTTTTTATATCAGCTTCAGTGCATGCTGGGGGGTGGGGTAGGGGAAAGAAACTTCACAAGATGATTTTTATGATTAGAGTTGTGGGTCAGGGTTATATATTAATCAGCCATAATTTCCACAAAACCATAGAAAGTTTCCAGCCCTGATTTTATGGGTTTGTTTTCTTGATTCTCATTTCATATCCTCATTTGTCTTATGTTTTCCAATGAGAGGAACAGAGAATTTTTTAACCCTTGTGTCAATCTTCACTTTATCTGATTGTGTATCAATCAATCTGATGCAGGAGTTCTTACACTGAACATAAACTAAGTTGAAGTCTTCTTTTTATCTTTTAAAACAATATTCTTGATTAACCTGTTAATAGTATCTAATATCTCTATGCATTATCACTATTGAATCAAACGTTAATTTCAAGAATAATTGTAGGAAAAGACCACTCACTCAAAAAGCTCTTGATTGTTAAACAAATTCTTCTCATCAACTGCCTAGGAAATGTACCAAGAACATTATGGAGAATATGCATATACTGATGCTAGGGTTAAAATTCTTTTCTTTCTTGTTTGCTTTACAGCGTTGCAGCAATGCAGTGGCGGTGAAGATTGGACATGATTGAAAACTCTTTAGACTTTTTACAACAGATTGCCTCAAAAATACCAAACTCAGGAACCATTTCCTTTTTTAGCAAGCCCCCATGGGCCTTTCTCTATATTTGAAATTGTGTTTCAGCACCAGAGTGGAATAAAAACAAGTAAATAGAGCAGATAAAAAACCCAATACATTGACATTTGAAATTTTTATCAAAAAAGCAATATTTTGGGAAAGTATGATCAGAAAAATTGTTAATGGTGATAGACGTGTACACATGCACACTAAAATATCACTATCAAATAAATATTGAAGAAATATAGCCTTTGAGTAATTGTAGTATTACTACATTAGGGTACCAAACAATCCTTTGACACTCCACTTGTCATTTTTAAAAATGAAAATTTAGCCTTATCAAGAAAAAAAGCCTTTTAAATTTCCTATTCAAAAGGTGAACTTTTCAACTTGAAAAATAAAACATAATAACACAAAAACAGTTAGAAACACAATGTTATGTTTTTTAATAGTGAATCCATTGCAAAAACAAAAGAAACATCCAAAAAAAAAAACAGTACAGAGGCAAATATTAAGAGGTGGCTGAAAAACAGTATTTGACATGATTATCAAACAGATCTAATAAAAAAAACAAACAAAAAAAAGAGAAAAACGTTGCAGTACTTAATAGTTGAAAGCTTTTCCAGCCATACTGGAAACATCTTTGCTTATACATTGCCATTAACAAAAGAATATATTAAAAACCTAAATACTGTGTTGAACATTCATTCAAGACCAGAGGCTAAGCTTGTGTAAAGACATTTTAGCTAGCATCAACAATCACACAAAATTAAAGAGCCCTCTACAGCTCTGTTTTAGTAGTGTCAACCTGGAATTTTTTCAAGATGTTGCGACGCTTACTGAACTCATCACTCTTTTTGGCACTGATGGCCCCATCTGAAACATAACAATGAAATAAACACAATTAGTATATACTAAAACAGTGGATAGCATTGAAGGCATGCTCTGATTGGCTAGTCAAACTCCAAATATCCTTTGCTATTTACCTCTGAACAACTTGAGAAAAAATGGCGTCCCGGTTTGCATGCGTGACAAGCGAAGAAATCACTCAAATTAATGATGGTGGTGTATATTATCTCTGTTTTAGTATATACTAAAACAACTATTCACCTCAGTGTTGGTGGTTAGCAGTGGATATCAACCTTGCTGCTAAGAGGCTTGGTAAATATCCACCACCAACCACCTCCACTTCAGTGAATAGTTGTTAAATATCAGTATGGATGGTTGGCTACCAGGTTAACCCAACTAGTTTAGCTCTTTAGTTATTTTGGGTGACCAGCAACTGTATGTATTTTTAATTCATTTCTTGTCTAATTTGTAACTAAGGTAATTTTACAGTTCGAATAAACCCCGTCTTGTCTTGATTGATGTGTAAATTCTCCCTGTAAAATCTATATGTTATCCAGCTAGCGAGTTACACCAAATTCTCATAACTAATTTACAAGGAAATATGTAGCAGCTAGAGGGGAGAATTTATAATCAGATCTGGGGAGTTAAAGAGTTTGAAAAATTTACTGCAAAATGCATCTTGAGATTCCAAAGGAAAACCAGACCAAAAGAAAATTGTTTTCAAGTGGTAGGTTACTCTATGGAATTTTTAGTTGATGTCTCAACTTCATACATTTGGATGGCAGCAATAAAAATTAAATGGTTTCTGGAGCATACTTTTTTCTTTGAGCTGCTTTACAAACATTACATTTCAATTCATTTAACTCAACTAAACTTAGAACTCAAAATTGGAATTAACACGCAGATTCAAATGAAGTGAAATCTTACCAAGCAGACGGTTCAAGCGTTCTATTTCAGTGGTGATGAAGGCGTCTCCTTTACTTTGCACCCTCTCCATAACTTTAGTGTAATAGGTTGCATCCCTGAGCAAGTTCATGTCAAATAGACAAATTAAAGTGTTGTCTAATATCAAAAATGGTTGTTAACAAGATTACAATGTGATGCACAGATTACCTATTCAAGGCATGTGAAAAAAAAACACAGGTTCTCTCTGACTAAATTTTATAAAAGGCCACACACTGATAACTAAGATCTAAGATTAACTTTTATATGCAAGTCTCGTGTGCTAGAGGGAACACTTTGGGTGCCAAAATAAGTGCTTGGTAAAATACAAAAATGCAGCAAATAATTTTCTAAGAGGGATTTTTGCCTCACGAAAGATCACCAGTTATTGACATAGGAGGGCAAAAAAGAATATTGATCACGCTCTGTTCCTTAAACAGGGCAGGAAACTTGGCCCATCTGAATGTCCGAGACAGGTAACTTTTTCATTCAGACAAGGAAAAAGATGATCGAAATTATCCAATTGGACAAGTAAAGTTGTAGAGCTCTAATGTTGCCTGACTTGGATAAATAATAAATCATTTTTTCCCGTAGTTTACAACTAAGTGCCTTCGAAATAAACTTTCTTTTCTTTTGTGCAAGTTGTGTATTTGATTTCTTCGCTAAGCATCGCCACTGATTTCCACTTAACTGGGGGATGGTTGAAATAAAAAAAGGATTTTTGAAACCCTAAATTGCTGTTGCCGATTTTTTGGGACAAGTAGTTTTGTGGTCCGGACAAGTGAAATACACCCTACACTTGTCCGAAGGGACAAGTGAATTGAAAAGAAAGTTTCCTGCCCTGTTAAAGAACATTGATGAGTTAGTCATCCACTGATGGCTAGCCTTAACATTTCTGGCATTTGCATTTGAGACCAGCTGGACAATTTAACCACTTAACCCCTAGGAATGACCAACATCTAATTTCTCCTTACAATATCACCCCTGAATCACACATTAAGGTCACAAGAATAAAGCAAATAATCACCAACCAGAGAAGCTCTTGTTTGTTAAAAACAAATTCTCCATGTCACACCTTAGGAAATGTGTAGAGAACAGTAGGGAGAATATGCATACTGATGTCTGGGTGGGAAGGGTTAAAGGAGCACATTTCAGTTGTACTCTAGACTATCATACACTTACTTAGGATCCTCTTGTGCATCAATGAGCGACTTGGCCTCCTCCAAGATTGCATCACGTTTATCCTTGACAGAAAGAAAGAAAGATAAACTGCGTTTAACAAGTTGCAGAAAGTAAATGAAGCAAAAGATTGCATTTTTGTTTCTTTTCATTAATGTCAATTTTTACCACATTGGTCATGAATTCTTTGGCAAACTCATCAAATTTGTCAATCCTTCCAGCCTGCAGAAAAAAAAAAAAAAAACAAAAGATGACACAATTTTCCTTTCCATTTCTGTGATTAAAATTAACCTGGAATTATATCACCCAGGATCACATTAAAGCAAAATGAACCAAGGCCTTATAGAATATTTCATTGATTCACAAAATGAATTTGGAACAACAGAAAAAGCCAACCAACAAAAGAAAAAATTATAAATAATTATCTCTCAGTTTGGTACAATTTTCTTGAAATAATCCTCTGTTTTAGCTCCTTTAAGTCTTATTAGCCTTATTAAGTCTCTAAATCTTTTGCTAAATAAGTTACACTTTTCTCAAAAATTTCTAAATCAACATGTTGCCAAAGTGATATACAATATAATATCTAAAGGCTAGTAAATATAAGCAGAATATTACATCATCAGTAATTCCTCCTCCAGATTTTCTATTGGTTTTGCATTTTTCATTCAGAAAGTCAATGAAGTCTTGTTCACTGCGGCCTTCATTGTACTGCAATAACAGCCACAAAAAAATCATTACAACCTACATGTAGTCCTCAGAGTCATCACAGCACAAATTAATATATAGATTTAGCCAAGCCTAAAAGCGGAGCTCCCAAGTAGATGATATTAGTGATAACATAAAAGATGTGCATTTGCCAAGACTCGCCTGAGACACCCTCCCTTCATTTTGATAGTCTCCTCTACCCTACCCATGCAATCTGAAGGCACGTACATACATACGTACACTCGGTCAGTCACGTGACAACCAAACGAAAAGAGGTTGACCATATTCTATAGGTATGGGGCTCTGCCCCACACACGCTTTGTGCGCGTGGGAGCCCCACTAAAAAGTATTAGAGGCCATTGAAAAATACAGTCTGTAAAACCTACATCAACCCTGTAACCCTCTTAGAGTGAGAAGGATCTTGCTTATCCCCACAGCATCAGCCCTAAATCACACTTTGAGTTCACGAGAATATAGGAAATGACTGGAAACTTAATAAGAAGGTCATGATTGTTAGACAAATAATTCTTGAGCTTGCATACTGATTTTTGGAATTAAGTGGATAATTACAGGACTCTCCCTTGTATACCTTTCGTAAAGACTTTAATCAATGAGTTTTCTTTTGTGTTGTAATCTACTTGTCTGACCCTGGCCCTGTACATTGCTATTGCCTACAGAGAAATCTTGAGCATTTTTTACCAAAGCACAATTCTCTAGCATGGAGAATGGACAACCCCTTTTGGTACATAAATAATAATAATAATAATAAAAATAATAATAATAATAATAATAATAATGTCCCTATATATGCTGATCAACAAGAGGTCAGATGCAATAGGGTGGATGCACGCATTGTAAATCATATGTGCAAGAGAGTTGTGACGCTGGAAATGAGCTGCCCGTGGGTTAACAATCGGACAAGAAAGGATGAAGAGAAGACACTGAAGTACGGACCCCTTCGCTGGGAACTAAGGCAGCAGTTCCCAGGCTACGAGGTGAAGCAATATAACATCATTATGGATGCCCTCGGGGGGTGGTCACGGGAGCTGGATGTCATGATGCGCGAGCTGGTGGGAGGCAGAAGCACAGACGTACTGCGAAAGATGCAGAGGGCAGTGCTCTCGGGCACGCTGAATATTGCCCGGACTTTCAAGGTGGNTTACAGAGTTTTAAAGGGGAGGTTAAATCCAAACAAGCCCATAGTTATTACTCTCAGGGACTACAAAAACATTTAACCAGACTGACTATGCAACACCTGGCGACGGTCGCTTAGCATATCGGACAATTGTTTGATGAATTCGATGCTCAGGCGAACGCCTGGAATAATAATAATAATAATAATAATAATAATAATAATAATAATAATAATAAACTTATATAGTGCATGCTAAATGATGTAATGATTGTACATGCTTAACAAAAATGTTAAACAAAATATGACGAAATTTGCAGATAAAATACAATAAAAAAACTAAAATTGATAAAAAATTACAGGATACAACAAGAATAAAACACCATGTAACATTTACAGACATTAGGGAAATGCTAATTTAAAATAATGGGTCTTACACAAACATTTAAAATTGTCAACAGTAGATCTGTGGCTTTTTTGATATAATTTATGTCAGAAGTAAGTTCCAAACTTTTGGGCAAGCCACGCTAAAACAGTGATTGCCAAGCAGAGCACAAGACTTACATAATGGATAATTTAAGCAAAATTTTATGAGTGAATTGCAAAGAACACCCCTGGTACCTCAATCTCTCATACACCACAGAACTGTTAGAAGAACTTTATGATACAACTTACTTCTTCTGCTTCATCACTGTCTCTGGGGAAGAATTTAATGGTAGGGAAGCCACTCACACCATACCTGAAAGACAGAATCAAGCGATAACATTAGGCCCTTTGAGTGTTAGCACTTTGTCATACCCCTTCACTCTGATGAAGGGCTAATGCTCAAAACACCAGGTTTAAAAACTACTAGTACGTAATTTTGATGTTATCAACTGAGTTGATAAATGAAATGTAAATTGGCCACCATTAAAAAGTTTCAAAGCTGACCTATCAAGTGTTAGCTGAGCAAAACAGAGCCATAAAAACTCTCTACCAAGGACAATTTACATCTTCCACTCATGATCAGTTGATAACACCAAATTATTTGTATTATTCCCTACCTATGCAGAACCACAGTTTCTTTAAAAAATTAACTCCTATATTCATTTATGTTCATAGTTGGAGATGACAGCATTATGACATTCTGCCCTTCAAAAACTCACCTTTCCCCTAAACTCCTTTCTCCATCAGCATCAACTTTGGCTACAACACACTGGAAATACACAAAGGAAACTAAATTATGAAATAAACAAATCTTGTAAACAATAATTTAGAGAAAAGATGTCTGGTTTGCATTAAATTTAACTATTAGTGTGTTCAAGTGTTTCATTTTGAAGAGTAATGTACAAATCACAGGGCTCCCAGCTTAAATATTTTCAAATCATGCAATGGTAATTGCCATGAGCAAAATTTTGTTAGAAAAAAAAAAAGACAAATAGAGAAGACACTTGGTGCAAATTACATCATTTGATTTCTAAACTGCTGACCAAAGAGTTTCTTCACACTAATTAAAGGGTTTCAAATAAGAGATGTCAAGTTGGCTTGTTTACAGCATTGCATAAAAGTGTGTGGTATAATTTATAGCTAAAGATAATCCAGGACTGTTTCATTAGTACCCTTAAGTGGGAGTGGAACAAAATGAAAAAACAATGACAAGAACAAAGTTTAACATTATGCTTGACACCATAGAAAAATCTCTGGCACTACTGTAGCTTACATTTGGTTCATTCTTGAATGCAAGTCCCACTTTCTCATAGACAGGGGCAAGGCTTTTACAGTGGCCACACCCTGGAAATGGACAAAATATGCTGAAAAAATTAGGCCAAGATGAAATTTACAGAGACAACTCAATTAGTCTGAGGAAGTTTTAAGAAACATAGAAATATGACTGGATAGAAAAACTGGGATGTAGCTTCTCACATGCTAATAAATAATAATAACAATCTTTTATTAGGAAGCTTCATCACAATAGTGGTTTACATAGAGGTGCTGGAAATGAGAACATCTCTGGAACTACATAAAATTTCAGTAATGTGTAACAAAGTTTGGAGTAAAGTAAGAACAGTAAAAACTCTCACATGGGGCATAGAATTCAACCAAAACATCCTTTGTCTTGTCCAGGGCCACTGAGTCAAAGTTGGAAGAATCCAGTTGTACAACATTTTCCTTGGTGACAGCCATAATGGCTCTGGCACCTGATAAAATTGATGAATAGTATATATTTGAAAAAGAAACACTAAAATAAAGAAGAAAACCAAACTGTATAATGACCAATTCCAAAAACCCAAAATTGCGTATTCCCAGTCAACAATCAAGGCTGTGCTCTGAGAAAAATTGTAAGGGGCCCAGTGCTCTGAAACTGTGAAATCCAGGGTGCCCAGCATATGCTTTTTATGAAAAAAAAACTAAGATTCCTGAGTTGCCCAAGAGCAAAAGTAAGGCACCAGTAGCCACCAGGCACTGCTAGACCACAGCCCTGATGATACAACTTGATTTATTTGAAGGGGTTTACAAAACATATTTACTGCTATCCTTTTTTTTTTTTAACCCTTTACACCCTTAACCCTTATACTCCCACAAGTGACCAAGACAGAATTTCTCCTTACAATATCAGTACAATATCAAGCAGACAAGTGATGAGAAAAAAGAAAAATATCAATTAGGGGATTTTTGGTTGACCCAATACAAAATTCTCCAAACCAACATTATAAAAGCTGTGTAGCAGGCAGTAGGGAGGATCACTAATGAGATCTTGGGAGTGAAAGGGTTAACATTGGTATCCATATTCTCAATACTCTCAGTACTGACTAGGAGAATTTGTTTAACAATCAGGGTTCTCATTAAGTTAGGGAGTAGACGGCATACTCTTAACAACTTACAAACAGATTATTTCACAAAAAGTAGGCAACTCAGATATCAAAGTAGCCAGTTCTTGAGCTGCTGGCTGGCACTTAATGAGAAGCCTGAACAATCAAAGCTTCTCAAGTTGGCTGTTGTTTCCTTTATTCTCAAGACCTAAATTAATGCCTCAGCAGTATATCAGTGAGGAGAAATTACATGCTGGTCAATCTTAGGGTTTAAATATTTAGGCCAAAACACTTCCTTGTGCCTTCAACTGTAAGGGTACAAGATGGAAATTTGGTTAAAATGCATTTTGTAGCCGGGACTTTCTGAAGGAATTTTATTATAATCTTACTTCTTTCCCGTTATGGTGCTTGGAACTAAAATTATCAAGTTGACTAAAAATGTTTTTTATAATAACAAAAAATATCATGTTACTTACCAGTTTTACCCTCAATAAATGAGATAAAATCTTTAATATCCCTTCCACCTGAATAACTGCAATGCAGAAGAAAATACAAATGTAAATTGTTAGTGTTTAATGGTTTACAAACAACAAAGCTCCAATCATAAAACTTTTCAAAGTCAGTATTTGGTGACCTAGAATCTCACCATGGTTGCAAGATATAAATTTTATATAATTGCCAGTAAAAACTTGTGGTTAGTGGTTTGATCAATATCTTGGGGTAAGGTGCTTGATCATGAGCAACCAAAGGGAAAAAATATTTTTTTTGTAAAAGGAAATAACAGAGAATTGAAAGTGATCTATACAAATATTTATTGCATGACAGAATCTACTTAACACCCTAACCATAGCTTACAAGGAGAACACCAAACATACGTCACCAAATTTTGTTGCAAATTTAGTTGCCAAGAGTTTCCTCTACTTGTTATAACAGCCAAAACAGCTCTGTATCCAGATTACAAAAAGCAAGAGGTCTTAGAAAAAAACACTTCTTACTCCTCAGCACTTGTGCTTCCTTTTGAAAAGTACTTAAGGGTAGGGAAACCACTTATTCCAAATCTAGAACTAAGAGTTTTGTCTGCATCAGCATCCACTTTGGCAATAACTACATCATCAGCTTTGGCAAAAGCTTCTCCTAGCTTCTCATATGTTGGTGCAAGAGCTTTGCAGTGACCACACCCTTTAGAGAAAAATTAAATACTCCATCTATACATTTCTCTGATATACAACACACTGAAGACAAGGTGTCAAAAAAAAAAAAAAAAAACTGGTGCAATGGACTCCCACCAAGGAGATTTGGTCCTCATCTTGGCTAACCCATTTTACTGTTTTTAATGTTTCCGTGATCACACATGGCAAATGAATAAATCAAAAGATAACTTTTCTTGGTTAGTGCAGAGTATGCTTAGCCAGGTATGTAATGACATGACCAGGAATAGTACAAAGGCAACAATGACACCAACAACAGGTATTAGAACTCTGTGTTTACTGCAGATTTTAAGACTGATCTAGCCATTGACCTAGCTAGCTCCATCTAAACTGCTGGTAGAGTTAATCCTATGTAAGTGCCACCACCTATAGCTACCCTGTCGCTACTATTTGTCTATCATGCAGTAGCATGTAGGCTTCTCTTGCATTCATACCCCCTGGGGTTTCCTTTTCGATCCTTCACTGTTTTAGAATAATTCCCGATAGCTATTGGATTCATCTCAATATCTTGAACTCATATTTTTCCCCTTTTCTATCAAATATATGCCTGAGTGGTCTAGAGTTTGCTCCTGAAATAGTTAGGAAAGATCAGTCAAAAAGAAAAGAATTCTAAGACATTATTGGTGTCCTACTCACAGGGTGCAAAAAATTCAACAAATGCAAATTTATCGCCATTTACAATCTGAAGAAAGAAGAATAACAAGAAAGCAACGGTTAGCGTGATGCAAATGTATACCAACATCGAGGAATTTTGTACATCAGCGATTGACCACGTGTCAAAAAATTTAGTTAGGGCAACAAAGTTTTATTTATACAGTCAATGGGAGTGAAGCTTCCCAATCAAAATGTAAACTAAACAAAATCAAGAAGATCAACTTCGTTGATTTCTGCTTACAACAAAACGGCAGAAAAAAATCCTGGTCACATTATAGTTTTCAGGCTTTGATACTTTCGTCCAATCACTGTTTGACAACGCTCTCTCGGATATTTGTGCATAAGTAATTGCGTCCATTTCATACCTACCGAGTCAAAATTATCACTCGTAAGGTCGATTACACTCGCTTGACAGAAGATGATTCCAACTAAAAAGAACAAAAGGGACGAGAAGTCAGCCATTTTTTTAACAGAAAATGTTCGTAGTACAGAATTTCTTAAGTCGCGAAAAACTCCTGGGAGATTCTATATGAAGAGCCCACGGACAATTGCCCAGTGGTTTTGCAAACAAAGGCTCGGCCGGAAGGAATGGTGATGAGCTGAAATTGCACATGGGGGATTGTTGTGATCTGATTTCTTCTTGATCGATATCTTTTTTAAAAATTTAAAGTTTATGTAAAGTTTGAAGATCGTAGCGTCCTCTTAAGATTTTTCTCAGTACGTAATGCCTAAAAGAACATCCGACCAAACTGTACACAACGAGGAGAAATTCCCCAAAGAGGTCAGCAATATGATTTAACACGAGATCTCAGTCAAAATTATTTTTTGGCATGAATAACACTGTTGATGGAATTCTGGTTCTATGGCAGGTTGACGAGAATCTGTTTCACTTTGATGAAAACCAAACGGACAGAATAAAAGAGGATGTTGATTCATCAGATAGTGAAGAAAGCTACTACTCCGGACTAGAAAGCGAGTCAGAAACAACGGAAGATGATGAAGACGAACAGGATTCTAATTCGGTAAGATTGCTTTGCTTGGTGTCCAGTCGCTTCCTTGCATGGTAAGAATTTCCAGTTCAGATCATTCCACTGCATGTTTCAATGTTTTTGAAGGGTTTACCGGTACAATGAACAATAAGTTTTTGACCAATCAGGGCTCTTGTAGTATCTCGATTGTGTTATAAGTTCTAAGTGATTGATAAGTATGTACATATGAGTGTAGTCCTTAGATGGAATGTTGCTGGGTTATAATGACTGCAACAATATCACTGTGTTATATATAGCTTCTACGGGCTTGCACACTGCAACGAGAACTGATAATTATATCCTGGATGTTCTCTGACTATGCTACAGTGACTGATGTTTCACCAACCACAGTGGAATTCATCATCAGGCTTGTCAGTCAACTGTGATGATGACTTTGCCCAAGGTTGTTGAAATGTCACTCAACAACAGTTCTTCTCAGTTTCTCTCACCCAGACGATATGATTACACAAACTATTAGCTGTTAATCTTAGGTTTTTATCTTTTAAAGCAGTTTTCAGTCGAGTTTGGAAAAACCAAAAGCAGATTTAACACGACAGCCAATTGGAGTAAAGGTTGACTCATTGTTAGCCAATGAGAACACATTGTAAAAACAGTCAAACTGCATGAAATGCAGCAAATTGCAAATGACCTAATCATGATTGGTTTGAGTTTAGAATCTGATTGGTCCAAAGGTGGGGCAAGTTTGCTGGACCAATCATAGAAAGAAGGAAAGTAAAACCATAGCAATCATGGATTACTTTCAACACTGAAATGAAAACTGCTCTACTATGTAGTGTAGCAATTCTCAGTTTCTTAGTGCAGGAATGATTTACCAATGTTGAGTTAACTCATCTAAAACTTGAAGGACCACTGTGGTGATGAATGGTTTTTTTTTTTCTTTTAAGCAATTCTGTATTGATTGAATAACTTTAATAGTGGAGCACTGCAGACCTTTCTATATATTCAGTTATCATGTCACTATTTGAATGAATGTATTAGTGGCAAGTTTAAGATTTTCTCTTTCTTCAGGGAGAAGAGGAAATAAGTGGTCACGAGTCTTTTGATGGTATTGATAATGAAGAAAAGAGTGATGATGACAACGAGACAAATAAAGGCAATGGTGAACCAAACAACAATATAGAAGATGCAATGAAGAAGAAAGGAAAAGAGCCAATTGATGAAAATGACACATCTGATGAGGAGGTATATGTGATTGGTTTGATTTTATCTGTCTAAAGATAACCCTGCAAGTGTTGAAGTTTGTGCAAAATACATACATGCAGCACCAACACTAGCTTGTTGTCAAGCCCGTCCCTGTTAATCCTTTGACTGTTAGAGTGACCAGCATCTAATTTCTCCTTACAATATCTGACCGGAATCAAACATTAAGGTTACGAGAGTAAAGCAAATGATCAACAACCTAAGGAAGCTCTTTATCATAAACAATGTTCTCCTTGTTAGCACCTTAAGAAATATATGGAAAACAGTTTGGAGAATTTGTATACTGATGTTAGAGTGTGAGGGTTAAATATTGTGTCTTTAATCACCCAAATGATCTATCATTTTTGGGAAATGAAAGGGAAAAATCCTCTCTTAATTCTTTCTCTTTGATTTTGTCTTATAATCCATTTTTTTTTTCGCACTAGGATGCTCGCAATACCGTTGGAAACATCCCAGTAGAGTGGTATAATGATTATCCTCACATAGGCTACAACTTGGATGGACAAAGAATATTAAAGCCCGCTACTGCTGATGAGGTTGGTACATTCCAAGGACAGAGCAGTTTAAGCGCATTTGACACAACTTTTAGAGTAAGTTGTTGAGTTTCAAAATTTGATATGACGATATGATTTTTTCCTAGTTGGATCAATTCTTGTCCAAAATGGATGACCCTAACTATTGGTGAGTGTAACAATTATCTTAAAGTTGAAGACTTATGCATTCCTTTCAAGTAATTGCATTTGTGTTTGTTTGACTATTTCACTTTGCTCAAGTGCAGGCTAAAATGAAGTAATGAATGTTGTCATAATTAAGGATAAACCATTAATCAGTGTATGTTTTTGATAATATGGTAAACAAGTGTTATACTCTCAAAACTGTAGGCGTACAGTTCGAGACAAAGCAACCATGAAAGAAGTTGTTCTAAGTAATGAAGAGTTGGATATTATAGACAGACTTCAAAATTCTCAGTTCCCAGGTGCTGGATACGATCCATATGAGGTATACTTTAAAGAACTGTTACAGTATTCATTTAGGAATCAAAGAAAGAAAACATGTCAGTGAATGCACATCATTGCTGTGCTATACTTCAATGATCAATATGCCATTTTTCTGTTGTTCATATGAACACTTGATTTGACTTTATTGCTAGAATCCTAAAGTTGCTTCCACAAGATTTGCATAGAATCCTTTAAAATAATTTGGATGTATCAACAAAGTTGAAATGGTAACTTGGCCACCGTAACGATTACAAAAGCTGACGCTTCGAGCGTTAGCCCTTCGTCNGCAATGTTCCCACCAATAACATAGCTCCATTTTCTGCCTTTAAAAGCACACACAATCCACAATTCCTCCATTCGCTCCGACGAAGGGCTAACGCTCGAAACGTCAGCTTTTGTAATTGTTACGGTGGTCAATTTACCATTTCAACTTTGTTGATATATCCAAATTATTTCATTACTCCCACCGACGCAGCCCCAAACAGTTTATTTCGAAACTATCAGCCTTAATCTTTTAAAATAAACTACATGCTCATGGTGCATGTAATCTTGCTACTTCATATGTACCACTTCATGCACTGGGAGTACGTACAGTTCGCATCAGTTACAGTTGCTTGGCATGTGTGTAGGGACTGCAATAGGCTTGCGTGGTACAGTACTTGCAGTGTCAGTTACCAAAGCAAAAGTATTTGAATATCTACAATGGATATTTGTCAGTTTATACCATTCTTACTATTATTATCTCATTATGGGGTATTGTGGCACATTTTGCAGGCTAAACTGAAGATTTTGACAGGCATTTGCATGGCTGCTCAGACTGTTTTGTTGTTGTTGTTTATTTATCAGTTTTTTTCACTGTGCCCTCCAAACTGATGAATACAATATATGTTGTTGGGTATAAATATGTTTTGGACCCTTCTCAGAGTCATTTCTACCCTCGCCTAGTAACCTCAGGCTAAAATGAAAGTATATGGGGTTATTATGCCAGCAAACATAAACTCTATTGTTTTATTTTAATAAGATTACAAAAACTTTGATCTTTTAATCTTTACAGCTAGTTCATGATAAAAGACCTCTTGTGAATGCCTAAAACCAATAAACTCAGTTATTATTTTTTCTTTTCCTTATAATCAGCCCTATGTAGATTTTTTCACTGGTGAGAAGATGATACATCCTTTGACTAATGCTCCTGAACCCAAATCGCGTCACATTCCATCCAAATGGGAACACAAGAGGGTAAGGAAGCACCTACTTGCCTCCATTATGTTTTTGAGCTGTCCAGATTTCAGGATTTTCTTATAAAAGTTTGGCAATTGCCTTTGATCTTTGAAGGAGAGAGGTTGGCAAGAGAAAGAAACATCTGTAGCAACTGCAATTATTGTTGAGCAGGGTAATGGGGGTTAGGGGAAGGGGGTGTTGCTAAAGGGGGTGTTGCTAAAGGGGGTGTTGCTACAGGGGGTGTTGCTAAAGGGGGTGTTGTACAGAGGGTGTTGCTACAGAGAAAACTATCATTATAGTTATATTGTCAGGTTTCGTCATTCTCAGATGCAACTGGATGTACCTTGTTAGATGAAGTACCCCAATAATTTAGCAATGATTCTATATTTTTGAGTTATAGTAGGGTTACTTAGTTCTTATTAACCGAGTGGGAGGTCTGTATGGGAGAATCTTGACCGAGGTAGCCAGTACAGACCGAACACAGTCAGGTCTGTACCAGCAACCAAGGTCAAGATTCTCCCATACAGACCGACCTAGCTTGGTTAATAAGATGTTTATTATATAGCTGTGTCTTATATGCCACTTTTATATATTCTTTGTACCTTTTTTTTCTAGACCGGTCTAGATGCCAGTCTAGATGGGAAAATCTAGACCGCTCTCAATATTGATTTCAGCCAATCAAATTGGTGAATTCAGTAGTTCCCAGTCCTTGTGAGACACAGCCATATAATAGTGACTGATAATTCCTTTACTCCCAATATCTTGATGAAGAGACTCTGTGATGTATGTAAATTTTAGACAAGAGATCAGTCACAAACCTCTAGTTCTTTGTCGTTCTTTATTCCTCGATCGGCCCATTCAGCGCTTCACAAGCGGAATACTCGGCCTATGCTTATTCGACTCAGAATAACCGTGCCACCCCAACAGTTAAGCTTGAAAAACTTTAAATCAACTCCACAAAAGGACAAGAAAACAAAAGGCAAAGTAAAGCAAAGCAAAGCTTAAAAATTTTGTGACTGACTGCCAAAACTAAAAAAAAACCACGTGACCAAAGAAAACAATGAAATACATTAAAATAATTACTATTGGCAGGAAAAGACACGACACACTCCTTTCTCTTTGCCATACATTCCCTTGAAAGTTTGTTCTGAGAATTTGGTGTCTAATCAAATGATAATTCCTGAGTTGATATTTTTCTTTATTCTCACATCACTTGACTGCTTGATATTGTACTGTTACCATAAGGAGAAATTCTTTCTTGGTCACTCCTGAGAGAGAAAGGATTAGAAGAGTGCATGCTTTTCTTTCTCTGAGCCAGGTTGTAAAGATTGTCCGTGCCATTAGGAATGGCTGGATAAAACCAAAGAAAGATGAAAAGACTGATAAACCAAGGTATTATTTGATCTGGGATAAAGATGATGACGGGGTGAGTGCATCTTCATTGTTACTTATTAAGGGGAAGTAGGTTTTACTCAGAATGATGTAATTTGAGTACTACTATCTTGAGCAAATTAGGTGCTATTTTTATTAAAACCTCACCATCATAGCATTGGAATGAGAAAATGGACTAAATAAAAATGGCTTACCTTATTCCATAGGTGTGTTATAAGAAGAGAAAACCAGGATTAAAAAAAAAACGCTTAAATCAAGTGAAATCGGTAAAATAATGACACCAGGAGCAAACAACACACGTATGGAATAAGGTAAGCCATTTTTATTTAATATTTTCACTTTTAACTATCCCTATGGATATCTTGTAGAAAATACCATACAAATCCTTATAAATCGATATGCAAATTGTGTTCCTTGTGTGGTTCTCAAAGAGAGCTTCGGCCGCCTCTGCTGAGAGAAAGAGTAAAATGAATTCCAGCGGGTTTATAGTAACATAAAGCCGTCTAGAAAATGGTCTATTATTACACAATTTTTTCGAATTTGTCAAACTTTTCACTGAAATTTGCTGAACAAATGGCTACTTTTAAATTAATAAAATTATTGTTTATGATTTTGTTTGTTTTGTTCAGGCCAAACCAAGACATAACATGCACATACCTGCACCTAAAATGAAACTCCCAGGTACTTCAAATTACTAACAGTAACTTTAGTTAACAACAATTGTTGTTAAAGATGTTTGTCCACCTTGGTTTTGACAGTAAATGGATGTTTGAATATTCACCTCATGATTTAGAGTCAGTAACAATAGTCAGAGTCAGGGTTCCAATTACCTTTTACAACTTAACATTAGCATGCAAATTCTCCATACTGTTCTCTATACGTTTTGTTACTGCGCTGACAAGGAGACTTTGTTTGACGATCAAGAGCTTCTTTAATTGCTGATCATTTCTTTCATTCTTGCTACCTTAATGGTTGTCTTATGGGGAATATCGTCGGGAGAAATTAGATGCTAGACAGGTGAGGTGTTTAAGGATCAAGGATGGTTACATTTTTTAGGTGTAAGTAGAGCTAGTGGTGGTCAGATGATGATGATGATGAATTGATTCTTTGCTAATTTTACATTCACCATCATTTAAGAATCCAAATTGAATTCCTTTAATATTAGATGTAAAATACCTGTAAATTTAATTGATTCACCAGGCCATGAAGAGTCTTACAATCCTCCACCAGAGTATTTGCCAACAGAGCAAGAGGTAAGGGAGAGGAGACTGAAACATCATCACCCCAGGTTGTCATTAGGAATGCAACATATGTAGTGAATTATGTTTGCGTAGCAAGATTGATGTGTTGCAAAGCAACATTGCCCTTCTATAGGAGTCTAGGGGTATGCTCCCCTGGAAAAAATTGAGATTGAAACTCTTTGAGGTGTGACTTTGAGTATTTTGGGGTATGTGTGAGTAAATTTTTTAGCCAGATATTGATTCACATTTCGCTCCGATGAAGGGCTAACGCTCGAAACGTCAGCTTTTGTAATCTTTACGGTGGCCAATTTACCATTTCAACTTTGTTGATATATCCAGATTATTTCGTTACCCCCACCGACGCAGCCCCAAACAGTTTCTTTCGAAACTATCAGCCTTTATTCATTGATTCACTAAGAAGACAGCCAGCCATTTCTGCCACCTACCAGCTTCTAATGACAACCTTGATCATCTTACATTATATGCTTGTCCTGACCATTCTCTTTACACTGAGTTTCCAGGTTTCTTGTCAAACTCACCATGAAAGCTTTACAATTATTTGATGGCCTACAGACTGTTGCATTTCCATAATCATGTTTTCAAAATTGAACCTCCTTGAGCCAACTGTTTGTTCCTTAGGCATAAACTAGAGAGAGCTTTTGATTGTTTAATGAAATTTACTAACAGTAACTATAATGAAAGAATGTTTGTTTTCTCCACAGATTGCTGCATGGGAGGCCATGGATCCTGATGAAAGACCGCGAAATTTTCTTCCTAAAAAGTTTGTTACTTTTTACAACAATGCTTTTGTGAAAGGCTCTCACAACAAAGTATTGTTGTTATGTTCTTAACATTTTTTTGTTTAAGTTTGAAGGTCACACTTCTTCATCAATCGAATACCCATTTCTCCAAACTAAAGTCATAAGAATTGTATAGCAGACAGTAAGGAGAATTACTATATGGGAGTGAAAGGTCTGAAAGCACAGGAATGTTACAACACTGTTCTGTCAACCATCACTGTTTCTGTGTCAGATTATTCTATTTATTATTTATTTATTTATTTATTTAATGATTTGTACCAAGTACTGGAGCACAAACAATAGGACACGGGTCCCCTACGAGGTTTAAGCTCCAACAAACCCACCCCAGGGGAGGACGTCCATCACACAGTAGTCTCGTGCGTGGGAAATTAACGTCTCCTGCCCCTAACCCTGCAGGAGACGGGACCTCCATTTATACGTCCCTATCCGAGAAGACTAGAATATCTAACCATTTCTTGATGTTATAGAAAGGTAGCATATTCTTCTCAATTATTTTAAGACCTTGAGTGTTGGTCCGGCCGGGGCTCGAACCCTCGACCTCAACAATCGCACAACAGTCCAAAAAAAATGTATGTGTTGTCAATAAATGAAATTCATTTAGTCTGTTTCTCATTTTCTAGATACTCAAGTCTCCGCCTTGTTCCAGCTTACAATAAATTTATCCAAGAACGTTTTGAGAGATGTCTGGACTTGTATCTCTGCCCAAGACAGAGGAAGATGAGGGTGAGACAGTCACACTCCATTCGTAACCTAGCAGTAAATGTTATTAGTACAGTGGAATCCCGATTTCTCGAACCTCCAGGGGAAACGCAAATTGGTTCGAGAAATCGGGAGTTCGAGAAATCGGGGGATTAAATTATAAGTGAAGCAAATCCAAGTGAAGCAAATCCAAGTGAAGCAAATCCAAGTGAAGCAAATCCAAGTGAAGCAAATCCAAGGGAAATAAGGTTTGGTTCGAGATATCGGGAGGTTCGAGAAACCGAGGGTTCGAGAAATCGGGATTCCACTGTATATAGCACACAAGAGAATAGTACTTTTAACGCACGCTGATAGGGTAGTGAGTTAGTGAATAGCAAGTACTATTCGCCTCCAAGCAGTCGAAGACACAAAATAGCGCGTCAAGAGTTTAATTTCCGACCATTTTTTGGAATATCGAGAGAAATAGAGTAATTTTTTGATTGCTGAGTGGTATTTATCCAAACAATTAGTCACCTCTACTTTGGTGAATAATTGTTAACTATGACCAGTTTGAATATTTCTTTGAATTATAAAGTTCTAATACTTGTTTTCATCCCGGTTTTGGTAGATCCAAGTAAATCCAGAAGATCTTTTACCAAAACTTCCAAGGCCCAAAGATTTACAGCCATTCCCGTCAACAGAATCAATGGTAAGGATAAACCTTACATTTTGTGTAAGCGTTTTGTGTCGGTTCGCATTCATATGTATGACCATTAGTATAATTTCAGAGCTGAGCAAAGAGTTTCCAGCAATCTGATTGGTCGAGCGGTTCCTTATATGACGCTATATTAACCGCTCCACGCGGTTTATATAAAATGTTAAAATAAAATGTTAATAAATATTACTAAAATGTTATGATTTTAGAAGTTTCTCTGTTGTTCAGCTCTGAAATTATACTAAAACAATTTTTCGCATCAGGTTCGATAAATATTGTCGAATAATCCCCTCGACTTCGTCTCGGGGATTATTCGACGATATTCACCTCGCCTTCGGCGAATAATTGTTAAATACAAATGCACTGTGAATCTCGCAGTGCCACCCTTGTTAAAAGGCCGAACCAGGTTACCAAATAAAGACTGAAACTGAATAAACTATTGACCGAATTATTTACCGAAAAATAAATTATTCAGTTCCAGTCCTTACTCTGAAAGCTAATTTTGGCGTATCCATTTAAGTCACGACTCTTATTAAAATGGTCACTCAAAGAAAATTGAAGCGTGTTCCAGGCGTTCAGTCTTAAAAACGAAACGCGATAAAAAACAGCGAGAGGCTTGGGTCGGGTCGCCAAAAGGAGGGAGGCTTGGGTCGTAAAGAACGCATTCTTTACGCGACTTCGCGCGACTTGACCCTAACCTCTCGCTTTTTTCGCTCTGCCGCTAATATCTATAGCGCCGTTTATTACTACTTAGCTCCTTTAACCAACTAAACGCCTTAATTGAGCTAAATTAAATTGATGATCAAATTTACAGTTTGTTCAACACATGTTCCACTCTCGCTAGTATTCCATCTGATATGCACGTATTTTTTAGGTGTACAAGGGCCATACAGCTGTGGTGCGCTGCCTTGCTGTTGACCCCACGGGACAGTGGATACCATCTGGTATGATGGCCAAAATTCAACATCAGTTTAACTTGATGTCCTTACAGAGCAATTACAGCTTAAAGTAAAGTGTAGAACAGCGGAGCTCCTTTATTATACACTCATTTGCTTCTTACTTTGCTCTCAGGAGGAGATGACAAAGTTGTTAAGTTCTGGGAAGTGTGCACGGGACGGTGTCTCAAGACGTTGCAGTGTGGTGGCACTGTGAACAGTATGGCATGGAACCCAAACCCCTCGCTGACGCTTCTGGCTATTGCCGTGTAAGTGGCAAGTTAAAAATGATTGCTTGCGTGCGGAGAAGTGAAGTACTTAGGTTCATCGTCTTCATAATTATTCCTTTCTCTCCTTATGGAGAGAGATTTGATGTTCGGTGTTTGGTCACAACTGTAGAAATAGCATGAAGTGTATCTCCGAAGGGCGCTCGAATAATTGTAGATGCTACGAGAAGCGCCCGCTCGCTTAATTCATTTCATTCGACTAATTCATTTCGTAATGCGTCTACAAATGCGTCTGTTTTCTCCTCTTCTGCCCTAAGATTCCCTCTGGATTGACAAAATTCACGCCTGCGCTACCAGATGCATTCCACCAGAGGACCTATTTTTCTACCCTAAAGAGGGGTTGGTCTTCGTTTTCATGATACTATCCAACCGGTATCACTCGTTCTGGTGTAACATTCCCTGATGATATCATGTATACAAACTCAGAACCACGAGAGAGAACCGCGGTAAAGTTACAACGGTACAAAAGTTGCCCTATATTAGATAAACACCTGTCTTATTGTGAGCAACTCTCTCTTTTCTTGACAGCGATCACAAAGCTGTAGTTGTTAACCATTCTCTTGGTGACAAGCTTTTGTGCGCCGCTACCGATGAACTCATTGAATCATATACTCGTCAAGGAGAAGGTAAACTTCTTATCTATAGGGTTTAGATGTTTGCGAGAATGCTTTCAGTTATGTGGCCGTGTTTTGTTGCAGGTTTCTTTTGACCTTGGACTGAATTTAATCTTTTTAATAATCTTTTCACAGATGAGAAAGAATCTGGCGTACAGTGGTCAATGGCTGAAGAAAAAGATTACAGAAATGGAGAACGTATAGTTTTAAAACATAGCAAGGTAATAAGGTCTTTTTGTAAACAGAAGCTTTTTCCTGGCACTTGTGACAGGGCCATTTTTGTTGACTGACCAATCATTGTGCAGGTGGTGCCTTTTTAGCCAATCAGGTGTATTTTTTTTATTTTTTTCCTACGCATTGCAGCCACGCCCACTCGCCGTCTTCATACCCAGATCTCCGCAACTCATATGGCCGACTTTGATTGGTGTCACTACTTCAAGTTTTCTGTAGAACTGTGTATGGGAAATAAAACAATTACACTTGTTTAAACTTTGCATTTAAGACTTGTTATGGAAAAACTAGCCATGCACGACTAAATTTTCTTGTTGAGATGGCCACACAAGAACATATTTCGTGGAGACTGTAAAGGGGTTTAGAAACTATTGTACTCCAGCAAGTTTTTCCTACAAATTTTTCTTGTTTTAACAGGTCATATCACAGGTCACGTGGCACGGAAAGGGGGACTACTTTGCGTCAGTTGTACCTCAGGGTAAGAGAGTAGCTGTTAACTGTTTTGGGGAAGATCATCCACCAAAAAGATATGATTTCTGTATCATGTAATTTTCCATTGTCTTAAGGACTTGTTCTTCTTTTGGAATCTCGATATGTGTTGCTGAAACAGTATGTTTTTATTACGTTTCTAAGGTGGCAACAAATCTGTGTTCATCCACCAGATGACAAAACGTCGAAGTCAGGTGGGTGAAGCCTCCGATCAATTTCTGTGCGGTTGAAAAATATACACTACCCCACGGGCTTCGATACCTTTTGCCATTAGCGACTGCTGATGGTGTTTTAGGCAGATGTGCCCGGAAAAGGGGCCATGAGGCGAAACGCAAACGCGAGAGTCTACTCGCTAGCTAAACTGACAGCGGTAAGAGATCTTATAAGCTGCGGTAGACGAACGACCGAACGTCCGAACGACCTGACTTCACTGACCGACGGTAGACGAACCATACCAAACGACCTGACTTCACCGACCGACGGTAGACGAAGCATATCGAACAACCTGACCTCACCAATCGATCAAAAATGCCCGCTGAAAGCAGGCCAGTATATCACAACAAAACTGACCTATCGGTTTCAACATACCATTGTTAGCTGTAAGAAAAACAAACCTTGTTATCACTCGCATAACTCCACTTAACGAGTTGATATTCTTGTCACATTCCAGTGTCCCTTCAAGAAATCCAAGGGTCTGATCCAAAGAGTGCTGTTTCACCCGACTAGACCATTTCTGTTCGTAGCTGTAAGTATTGAAAACTGTCAAATCAGTGAACAATTATCCTTCACGTTACATGTAGGACTCTTCAGTTAGGCGCATGAATGCAGAAAATAACCAGTTACGAAAGTTTAAGATTTTCGAGTCGCAGTTCATACCTAGTGGTGTGATGAATGATGGATTATTACGTATGGATGGTGATAGACAAAGACGTGTCTTTTCTATGTTTGCTTTCATCCTTTTTGCGCTGGATGAAACCCCAAATATCAACGCTGAGAGATATAAAACCACTTAAAAGATAGAGTTAAGCAAAAGTGGTTCACCGTTTTTAAGATTAAAAAAAACTCTTGCGTTATAAACCAGTTAAATTATGCCGAGAAATCTTTGCAATAGCAGTGGCTGCCATCTTAGAATACATAGAAATCTGTACAAGAAGAGTAACCACCGTCCTGTCAATTCCATCGATCCCCGAGCAATGCGCACATTGCCACGGACAAGCGACAAAAACGCGAGAATCCCAGTCTCCTCGGGACACGAATAGTTGCTAATAGCGTACTTAACCCCTACCAAAGTTCCACATATCCTGGGTTGGGAGGGTTGGGGTTTTCATGGCTCTAACGACTTGTAAAACTCAAGCAAAAACTATAAGAGTTCTGAACGTAGGGCAAGAAAGTTTAATACTTAGCGTAAGCTTGCGAAAATCAAAGTTACCTGAAGTTCGTTTCTAAACCTGCTTTGCTTTCCTTCTCCAGACACAGCGATTTATCAGAGTCTACAATCTCACCAAACAGGAGCTAACCAAGAAACTTGTATCAAACGTTAAGTGGATTTCCAGTATGGCGGTGCATCCAAAAGGTACGTTTCCCTAAGTTAAAATCAACCTCACCAAAAGCTCGAAAAAATCACGGCGTTCAGTAATTGGGGCTTCTCTTCTGGTTTGATAGCCTGTGTAGCGGGCGTTTTTTCGGAACACAAACGTCAGGCATGCGAAAGTGGGTCAGACTTGGCCGGCTGAGTGCCAACATTCCGCGTAAAATTTCAAAGGAAAACGTAAGAAGCAACCGCTGGCAGGCAAAATATGCAAACAAAATTTGACTTTTGATAATTTAGATATTTTCGTTCATTTTTCTTCAGGCGATAACTTGATTGTGGGAAGTTACGATCGTCGGCTATGCTGGTTTGATATGGACTTGTCGACTAAACCGTACAAAACACTAAGGTTAGTGATCATGTTTATTGGCAAAATATCCCCCGCAAAGTGTTGTAAAGCGCCATGAGCGATGGGATATGGCGCTATAGAAATCCTTATTATAATTGCTTTCGATATTCAATTGAGAATTGTTCTTGAGCCTATATGACGGAGTTAGTTCCGAAGCTCTCCTGGAGGTTATACAACACTTAAAAAGTATTTTATTATCGTTGTCTTTAGGAGTCACAAGAAGGCCTTACGTCAGGTGGCTTTCCATAGGCATTACCCACTGTTTGCATCTGCTAGCGACGACGGCACAGTTATTATATGCCACGGACGAATTTTCAAGTAAGTTACAGTTTATCCTAAGTGGCGAATTCTTAATACCAATTAACTTCGCTTGTAGTAAACTGTTAAGAAGGATATGGAAGGCAGTATATCACAAAGGGATGTCCGACTGGAAATTAAATATTTGAAATCCATATACCTGTTAGGATTCAATGGGTTATCTTTCATATCTGGTTACGAGGCAATTTTTTTGTTTCGTTGAACAAGAAATAAGCTTCTTTGTGATGGCTTTGTGACAGCGGTATTCTTTTTCATGTCATGGTTTCTCATCTATGAAAATAATCCCGACGGAGGACAGTTCTTGATAAACCAAGATATTTACCCTAATTTCCTCTTTGTTACGTCAGTCGTTCCCCACACACCGCCGCGTAGAAATCAATGTTAGACTGAATAGTGGTCGTTCTGCAAGGGTGCTCTTGAAATTATTCGTCGGTTTAAGTTCATTGACCTCAGTGGAAGTTATCATAAGAATTGCTGCACAAACCATTTAAAGAAATATTCCCTGATTCTTTCCAGCGACCTGATGCAGAATCCTTTGATAGTCCCCGTTAAGGTCTTAAAAGGACATCGAGTGGAAGGAGAGCTGGGTATGTTAGTTTGTAACATCATCTTGTCATCTTTCTAGTCGCTCTCAAACCTTAAATAGCATCAATGGAAGATGGCCTCCTTTTCACATGGTGAACGTTGTTCTACAGCCGTTGTTATTTTGTCCAGCTCCAAGCTATCGCCTAAAGGAAATACGCGCGAGACTGGGTGAGCGAAAAAGGCAAAGTTCACCCTTGCCTTTTTGTTCGTCCTGAAACCTTAAATAGCATCAATAGAGGATGGTCCCCTTTTCACAACATGGTGAACGCTGTTCTACAGCCGTTGTTATTTTGTCCAGCTCCAGGCTATCGCCTAAAGGGAAGTACGCGCGAGACTGCGTGAGCGAAAAAGGCAAAGTTCACCCTTGCCTTTTTGTTCGCTCACCGCATTGACGCTCGTTTAACTTAAGGGAAGCTTAGTTGTCTCCTGCCATTCGATGCAGTTTATTTAATTCTGACAGCCTTCCCTACGTTTATTTCAGGTGTTGTGGATTGTCAGTTTCACCCAAGTCAGCCATGGATTTTTACTGCTGGTGCAGATCACCTCATTCGACTGTATACGTGACATCTCATTCTGCTCTTTTTAACACAGACATAGAAAGAATAAGTCATTACGCGATCTCGCTTATCCTAAGATGCGCGAGATTATATCAGTACACTAATGCGTCAAAAACATGAAAATTATGGCCCACGAAATGCGTTCTTCGTCCAAGAACATACCGACGCTTTGCTCTGGATGGCTGCCAACTGGTGCGCTATTTTTTCTTAGGAAACCATTCGGCTACTCAATCCTCTGAAGCTTGTGAACTTCGAGAAGTCTTGTCTATGAACGCTGTTACTGACATGGCTCGACATGAACAGTCTTTTTGGACATTTGAAAAAAACACGGTGTGTGGTACACCAAACAAGACTTTATTGTTGTTTTAGTTAAACAGGTATCATAATGTTGTCCCAATAAACTAGTCACAGTCCTCTTTTTCGATCCCTATTAACTTCGACTCGCCGTTTTTCCACTAGCCAACTGTCAGTCGATACGAGCTTAGCAAGCAAACCTCTCTCTTTAATCCATGAGCAGTCTCTACTTTTCGGTGAAGTCCGTAGCGCAAGGAACTCTGGGAATGAGGCGCAGCTACCTCTCATGGTTTCGCACAGCGGGCTAACTTTTCTTTACTTTTTCCCCGCTGATTTTTTTTACTCGCACGAAGGACTTCGCCGAAAAGCAGGGAATGCTTTTAGTCTACTTTGTCTTAAGGTCAGAGCGTAGACATGTTGTTGACACAAGACTTTCTACTTATACATATTTACAAAGCTCTACCTTGATTTTGCCTCCCAAAACATTTTTGTCTCCAGCAGGTGAAACTTTACAGTGCTGTTCTCAACCCTAAACTCGATCGATTTATATACTTTTTCTCGCATAGAAATCTTTGAACAAGGCTACTCTAAAGTTCGCTGGAGATTTAGAGCGCCAAAATCTCCTGCCTGATTCAACAAAGTTTAGACAAGATATGAATGTTAAAAACACTATGTGCAGGGTGAATATACAGAACAAAATTTAAAACAACAACGTCATCTTTGGTCAGAGAAAATTTTCCGTAAAACGTTAATATTCTCCTGGCACATTTTGCGAAATCTGTCGTCCGCTGCAGGTTCAAATCCTGAAATGAAAAAATAAAAAAAAGGTACACCTAAAAAAAACCATCTACGATTAAAGAGAGCTCTTTATGGAGGGTTTTTGACATCAGTGGGCGGTGTCCTTCAATTAAAAGAGCGCTTTTCGCAATTTTATCCTACCCGCAACTTCTAAGGCACTCGCACCTCTATCAAATTAGAAGGTGGTTTATTGATGGTTAAAGAAAATTAAAATTTCAAAGTAACCAGTATACCTGGTAACAAGTTTATTTCGTCGAGTTTCTTCACTACTCCCGTCTTCTTTAATGACACTTTTGCCTAATGAAAGTAAAAAAGTTAAGAGATAAGGTGACCTAACAGTTAGCAATTTACCTTCGAATCCTCTTGAGGGTAAGAACATCAGTAAGAACAACGGCAACACATTCGACTGCGCCTCCTGTAACACTTGTTCTTACCGCATTTTGACGTGATCTGTGATCAGTAACTGAGCAGATGGATGGCAACATAGGATTTCTTTGTTAATTCAGTGTTTTCGTATTTAAAGGTTTAACAAACTTTCACAATCGTGACATGTAACATACCTTTTGACAATTGTGCAACAGTGAGCACAGAGCTGAGAGGCAAAGTGCCCTCAAGTAAATGGAATTGTCAGTAATAAATTCCACAAGTAGAGACAGCAGCTTTTCTGCAAATCAGAAGAGATGCGATTCATTTTCATTATTGGTGGATCCACTGAACCAGTCTCATCCAGCGAGGGAGAAACAAAAGCAAAATATTTTAAAAGTAAACAGCATTAACGTCAATTTACTTTGCCTTTTGGCGAAACGACTCTCGGAGAACGTTTCTTTAAACGCAAAAGATGGTATGTGAAGCTTTAAAATAGACAGTAACTGCAGAATTTATCTATTATATATTTGGTATCACTATTTCGAATGTTACTTGTTCCTTCACTGAACGTGATTTTTCCACGCTTCGGGCAGTTTGCTCGTTTTTACTTCAAGGTCTCATTGGTGCCTGGGGATAATTTCCAAGCTATGACTGGCTGTTGTCATTGCTATGGTTTTGGTTGAACGACCCTCAATCGGAAAGCGCCGTATCATGTTACATGTAACTCGCACGTTGCTGGCTTATTTTGGCGGTAAACCGACAGACAAAGGATTGGCTGTTCGCGCGCAAACGTCGACACGGAATTGGTTCTTTCTAAATCTAACTGAAATCTCCGAAAACGGGAGTGTGATGTTGGAAAATTTGAGAACAATCACCAGCTTAAATAATCAGTGGTATGGCTTATATGGGTATTTAGTATGACAGGTTGTCATAAATTTGCGTTAGGACGAACACACACTTGGTTGACAAACAAACGCTAAGAACGCACTATTGCGAACATGATAACTCACCGTTCACCAACAGCACAGGCTTACTGGCGCCATGGAAGCACAAATTTCTCAAAACAAGAAGAGCCTTTTCCTGCAGCTGCCTGTTCTGAGCCGTACTCATCTCTAGCAACACTTCTACAACGCCAGGGGTCTTGACCACACCCTGCTGGCCATCGGTGAAGAATGTCACGCTGACCAGCACGTTGAGCCAACAGAGCGTCACGCCACGAGTAATGGCCTTGTGTCTGGGATGCGCACCGCTTTTAATAGGCTTTAGTGTAGCGAATGGATGAAAAAAGTTCGTCTGTAGTGACATAATAAAAAGCAATCAGCATTATAAGCGACTTGAACACCAGTGGTGGAGAGGTGTATAATTCAAAATTCCTTGTTAAGGGTTAGGTCCGCAAAGAGTTTTTATCCACACGTTAGACTCCCTTGCCACAAAAATTTTCTCTAATGTGACAACCACTACCCCGGAATGAGCGTGCGCAGCAGGGGATCAACCACTGGCCCGGAATGAGAGTGCGCAGCAGGGGATCAACCACTGGCCCGGAATGAGCGTGCGCAGCAGGAGATCAACCACTAGCGAGAGTAACAAGACAACGAGACGGCAACTTTCAACAAAACGTTCGCGCCCTTAAGCATGAGGTTGTTTTTGAGGAGTACTCACCCTCATTTCGCTAAATTCCTGCCGAGTACAACAAGAAAGGCATAAATTTGTGAGAAGAAGAGATATTACCTCTTGAAAAGCGACTGTTATAAATGAAATGACATTATTTTGGGTGACACATTTCCAGACCTACCTTCCACAGGACTCCTCTGCACTCGGCACTTAAAGCCAGGTTACTAAGCAGATTGGACATGTTCCTTAGAACAGCAAGGTGCATGTCCAATTCAGAACTGGAGCTGTTCTGAAGCTTACTGTTAGTCTTATGAGTCAGTTTGATCAGGCTGTGCAGTAATGTGCTTCCACTCTGAACAGAACGGCTAACGCTCCCAGGAACGCCTGAACTACCCGCGACAAAGGCTGATGCTGCAAGGGCAATATATGTTAGATTTTTTTCATCTATGTACACTTTGGATGTTGCACATATGGTGCTATTCAAAAGTGTCGCACACCAAACACAAAACACCAAAGTCGGCAATTCAGAACAATGGAAGCAAAGAACACTCAGGGTAGAGAGAATAATCAGTTTTACCATGGCAAAAGTGGTTTTAGTTTGCATTTGATTAGTACAGAAGGTGGCATGAACTTTCTAGACCAATAACAAAAGGAAGTAAAACAAATGAAGTCAAATTTCTGATCTCATTTCTCCAACTGGTGAGTGCTGTGAACATGGAGGTGATCAAAATAAAAGATGTGAGGCGCAATTTCACTTAAGAAGACGACAAGTTCCGTCACAATTGTTTAAATGACTCACACCAGGTGATACTGCCATTGCGGCAAGTTAAATGAGATACCAAAAGATCATAAAAGAATTCTCAACGAAAAGAGAATAATAGTGTCTCGAACTAAGTGGAGTAGGTTGGTACATTGTTAAAAAGTAACGGTTACTAGTTTACAGGGACTATTCACCTTTAGAAAACTGTGCAGTCAGCGCTGATAGTAGACGCAACACTTCGTTTAGAAATTGCATCTCAACAGAACACCACGACCAGAGTTTGTGCACGACATCAACGATTCCGCTTTCCAAGCAAGCACTCTACAGAAATATGAGGCAAAGAAAGTATACTTCAGTTTGCATTCCCACACGTTCATTGTGACGACAAAAACGTTCCTTAACCTCTTCCCAGAATCCTTCAGGGGATTTCAATAACTTTTTTCCAAAAGCGGTTGCCGATAGTGTGAAAGGTACACCGCCATTACCAGATTTTATTCAAACCCCTGTAATCCGGAAGCACTTTTACTTGATTGTGAAATTTCCAGACATCTATTTGGTAATCAAGATAGATCTACGGTAAGACAACACTGCTAGAAGCAAACGATTTACTGTAAGGAATTTCATTGCTACTAGACACCTTGACTGATGCACTACGGTGAAGAAAGTTTCTGAGTAGTTGGAGCACTTTAATAAGCTCTACCATCAATGGATCCTCCTGAAAAGAAACAGTAAGTTAAAAATGAAAAAGTTTGTCTGAACTTTATGTTGCCTTACTAAGGATACCAAAAAAGGAGAGAGCATCAGCTGAGGTGAAATAACGAAAAACAAAAGAGATGGACACGAAAAAGTGATGGTCTTCCGTTGATAATAGCCCTTTTATCTAAGGTACTAAACTTGCAGAAAGGGTTTGAGCTCTAGGGAAAAATTCGAGAAAAGAATGCAAAAAGTAGAGACCACGTTACACAGGAAACTCCAAGGAAAAGAGCTGTCACAAAAGAGGGAAAGAAATTAGTTGTTTGTGCCAGTGAAACAAACTGCTACAGGATGTTTTAAGTCATTACCTTCTTTTTCCACGAAGAACCTTTTCCTAGCTGGAGTGAATTTATGTTTAACTGGGCATGGAGATGCTTGACCTGTTCCAGCGTGGTTTCGACAAGTCCAGCTGGATAAACAAAGGAAGCAAGAATGAATATATGCGAGGACTTGAAAAGGTGGTTTAGGAGCTGTTTTGAAAAACCAAACTCACGAGTTGAGTAGACGCGAATGAAATAAATTTTACAGGACATGCATGCTTAAAACTCTAAAGAGAGGCCTAACCCTCCAAGGAGAAATTATCAGATCAGATTGATCAATCTCCTCACCTTGCAAAGCAATACGTTTTGCCGCGTGACTTAAAGCCAATAAGGAACTCAGAACGGCACACACTAACGCCTGTTCCTTATCCGTGGTATTAGAACTCTGCCGCGACGGGGCATTGTCGTAAACTTCTAGCAAAACGCTGCAAAGTTCTTGACCAGACGTTTCACTGGTAGCAGACAATCCTGGGCTGTGTTCACCGTTTTGTTCTCTATGCTTTTTCGTATTATTCACAACATCCACCCCGTGTTCACTGATATCGTTGTTATCGAGTAATCGAGTTAAACGATTCCTTGTTAAAGGTTTATCAGATGTTCCGTCACTTGACCCTCTCCCACCGAGGTGTCGTTTGCCCTCGATCGTCAAGTGGAGGCCAAGAAGCTTAAGAAGTAAAATTCTTAGGGAGGATAGGGTGGGGGATTTGTTCCCTTTAAATGAATTTTTGATGACACCTGAAGAAAAAAATGGTGATTAGACATTATATCTGTTCTGAAATAGCATTAACCACTTCACACCCCAACGTTGATTTGCATATTCTCCATACTTTTCTTTACACATTTCCTAGGGTGCTGACAAGGAGAATTTGTTTAACAATCGAGAGCTTATTCGGTTGGTGATCATTTTCTTCATTCTCGTGACCTTCGTGTTTTATTTAGGGGTAATTTTGTAAGGAGAGATCAGATGCTAATCACAGAAAGAGGTTAAGGGTAAGGGAGAATGACTAACGGCGGAGAGAAACGAAAAGCACAAAAAACAACAGTGCGTTAATTCTATTATGAGCGATGACCGCAAGAAAAAATTAGCCTATAAATAGTTCTGTAAATAAAAGTAGACTGAAACATCTTTCTCAAGTACACGTTTCGTAAGAGAGATTTCAAAGTTCATTCAAACGCATGCTTACATCTACGGCATGCATAAAAGTAAAGGTATTTGTTCCAAGTTTTTCAACGATTCCTGAAGTGTCATGTTTACACTTACACTTACACTTACACTTACACACACACACACACACACACACACACACACTTACACACACACTTACACACACACACACACACACACACACACTGGAAGAGAGTCAAGACAACGCAACCTCGGGAATTCTGAGGGAACAAGGCTGTTCCGATGCACATTAAGTACATGCATTTCTGTTTTAAATGTTCTTCGCTGGGAAAACTGAATTGCATGTTTAACGCTTTTAAAATCTACATCCGGTTCTAGAACAAAACAAGAAATTACGAAATTCGCTTCCTTGAAAGTTTTTCTTTTTTGTTATTTGTATTTTTATTGCATGTATGCATTTACGAATATTTAAACAGGGTAGCCCAGTTCAGCTAAGGCTGGTTTAAATGGGGCCCTGTCACACCCACCCATTCCATCCCAGGGAAAGACAACCACCACACAGTAATCTCGTGCAAGGCTCGAACCCTCGCCCTCCTGCACAACACAATCCGGCGCTCTAACCAACTGAGCTAACCGGGGGACGGTTATGTAAGTACACGTAGAATTGGTCCAGCTGGGGCTCGAACCCTCGACCTCCCGCACAACACAATCCAGCGCTCTAACCAATTGAGCTAACCGGGGGACGGTTATCTAAGTACACGTAGAAAAAAATTCCATCTTACTGATTAACGGCCTCCAGTTAGTAATCAGAGTGTCCTCAACAACACTTGGAACTGACAGCTGGCCTTGGTTCTGCAGTAATGTGACTAGCAGTTTGCAGACACTCTCTCGCACGGTTCTGACGCCAATTTGTAGACTGCCATCTAATATAATAGAGGAAAAGGTTATAAGAATATTTTAGACGCTACTTTTTCTTAACTCTCCACACCGAAGGTTAAGTGAGTACCCGAAAACTTGTGCTATAAATACTCCAGAGAGGTAACCTTTTTTCTTCAGAGTATGAGTAAGCTTTCCATACAAATGGATATTACTCTCATGGAGGCATAAATCGGAAATGATATGAGGTTATTGTTCACTTGGAGTCTCGCCGTCGTACATTTTGTTAATTTTGATATCATTGTATTTTTCATAGGAAATTTATCTCGTCCTTTCCCAGCATCCCGCGTGGGCTGTAACGCCAGTAAACTTTTAGAGCGCTTTTCGATTGCCTGTCGCGAAACCAAAACCAAGGTAACCAGAACAGCCAATCAGAAGGAAGGAAAACATGCTGAAAAGAGCCAATGAGAACTGAAGCGAATAAAGGGAAAAATAAAGTAAAACCAACGCAATTCCGGATCATTTTCGACACCCAATTGAAAGTTGCTTAAAGAGAGAGAGTGCAATCTACTGCTTGATTAACATTAAACGGCAGCTTTGATGTTTAAGTGGGCGTTCAGTTTACCTGCATGAGAAGCATCTAGTGAAAATAGTAGCATTATCCTGTCCAGAGCTTCGTGGTCTTGTAGCAAATTGAAGCAAAAGATGGTATTCACTTTGACAACAGTGCGGAGGAAAGACAAGATTTCACTGTACATGGAAAGTATCTCTTGAATCATTACAGAGGACGCATAGGACAGCGGGATTGGTTTTTCCACACAAAGGTAGCCTTTTACCTCCGTGCAATCAACATGGCTGCAAACAACCGGAAAAAACACAGTGGTCTAGTAACTAAACAATTTGGTAATGAGATGAAATTTCGCATGCAGAATTCTCCTTAATGAAATTAAGGAACTCTCCTGATATTTGATTTCATAAAAGCTCAAAGGTAATATTTTTTCAATAAAGGGGGTAAAAGAAACTGTGATGCTGCGTCGTGGAGGGGTATTACAAGATAATTGGGTTTTACCAACTGAGTTAATAATGTAAATTGGCCTCCACAGAGAGAGTTTCTAAAGCTAACGTTTCGAGCGTTACTCTTTGTCAGAGGGGAGACGCAGATGGTACGTCTGACGAAGGCTTAACGCTCGAACCTTCAGCTTTAGAAACGCTTCACGGTGGCCAATTTAAAATATCAACTCAGTTCATAAAACCAATTTATCTTAGCTCTAAACTGAAATGTATAATTCAGCCATACTTACTCAGTAATGCTGCTCAAAATCTCTGCTTTGTTGAGGGCTGCGATGATGGGCCCTGGGACCTGGAGTACCAAATTGTTCACCAGACGTGCCATTGCACCAATGAGCCCCGGCGTTATTGAGGACCTTGTAGTTTCTGAGGATGTCCCTGATGGAGCCGCAGAGCTAACTGAACTACTAACACCACCACTACCACTGGCACTGGACATACTAAGCGTTACATGAAACGGTAACAAAAGGGAAAATAACAGCATTTTACGTGATTCTGTCCATGCACCCTCTCAGTATAACTAAAAAACACCTGAGACGTGGTCAGCGTTCCAGGCCGCAACCGATTTAGTCTGCATGGCGAGAGGGGAAAATGTTTGGCAGCTAAATTTGTAAGGAAAGTCGCCGATCTGACGACTTGCGTTGGGCAGTCATGCATAAAGCTGTAATGTTTATATTGCCTATTGTCTATACGCAACCGTTTAAATAAATAAGAAGAGAAGTAAACACGAATGCCGATTTGAAGGAGCGTGCGCAGCAGGGGATCAACCACTGGCCCGGAATGAGCGTGCGCAGCAGGGGATCAACCACTAGCGAGAGTAACAAGAAAACGAGACGGCAGCTCTCGACAAAACGTTCGCGCCCTTAAGCATGAGGTTGCTTTTTAGGAGTACTCACTCTCATTTCGCTAAATTCCTATTGTCTATAGGCAAACGTTTAAATAAATAAGAAGAGAAGTAAACACGAATGCAGATTTGAAAGAAAAGCTGCGGTAGCCGCAGTTTTTGTCCTGACAACTCACATTTTACTTCTGGTGACGGGTGACCTTAGGTCGCGAAATGGCTACCATGAAAAAAGAAATGAGCTTGGAACCCTATTGGTCGCCCTTGTTTTCCCTGCATTCGAAAGTAGTTTTTTTACTCTTATCTTAAGCCCTCACTGTTTATCCATCTAAAATGTTCCCTTGATTTGATTGGCCGATATGGCTACTTCAGTTTCTCTTTTACGATACTCCACCAAAATGCCATCTAAACTTCGCATCAGCGGCGGAAATAAGAAGAGAAGGCGTTTGAAGGTCTCTTAATTTGTAATACCAATTAATCAAAACCGGCAAATCTTCACATGAAACTTCAGTTGAAAAAGTATTTGCAAAGGTGAGCTTTGGCACCGTGATTGCTACATTTTGTTTGCTACAATGCTGCTTTGGAAAAGTATGGACATCCCAGTTTAATTTGTTTCAGCCTTGACTTTAATATCTATAACAGAATCATTCGTGACTTCAAACGAATAAAAAATCAAGCAAAAAGGTGAAGAAGACTTACCCACTGGGTAGACCTCTTTCATTAATAAGTGGAACCAAGGAGGTAGGAGTCCTCGACGACTGCGTCTCAGGATCGGACGGGGACACCCCTGACAAGACTGTGCTTGAAGTGTGAGAAGCCATTGAAAATACTCCAGGGCTTGCCTTGCCATTTGCACACTCTGTAACTAACGTTTGCGCTTCCGAGCTCACACTGCCAGACCGAGTCTGCGGCGTTGAACCAAGGGGCTTGTATGGAAAGTCTGTACCAGTACCCGACGAAAGAGAAACTGTGGCAGAACTTTGACAGGCCCTGGATGTCCCTTGTGAAGGAATCAATGGAATTGGACTGCTTGTAAGCATGTTGGAGAACTTTTGGAAAAACTTGAAATGCTCCAGAAGGGAATGCAGATCTTGAATTTCCTTTGAGGGTTTCTTTAAAATAGGAAAGGCGAGAAGTAACATATTAATGAAAGGAAAGGAAATTTATCAAGATTTTTTAGAACCTTAATCTGTGCAGTACATCTTAGTCTGCAATACATGGGATCTACTTGAAGTGCAGAGATCTGTAACCTCTCAGTTTGAGAAAAAAAAACACCATGCAATACCATAATTATCAAGCTGTTGCCTTGAATCAATCAAGAGAAACAGCCGCCGCAATGGACGTGGTCAAGTTTTGTGATAATCACGTTCATTCTATACAATCATTCTCTTAACGTTTGCCGAATTTGATGATAAATTTCAATTGCTAGGGCCCTTCAGCTTAGAGCATAGAACTTGTCGAAGTTCCCTTTCTTATCCAGTTTTGAAATTGTACTCCTTCTCTGAATAAAAGAAATTATCGATGCCCACAAGAGCTCTTTTTAATTGCGATTAAAAGTGGTAAGAAAATCATACACTTGAGCCGCAGGTAAAAATTTCAAGAGGGGAAAGATCGTCACAGTTTTAGGCACCATTGACGTAGTTTTAAAACAGAGCCCAAAAAGTTCAGATTCAATATTTTAAACAAGACTGGGGCAGAAAGAAGAAAAAAAATAAACGCTGTCGGGAAAACACAGTTGTTTTCATCCACTACCGTATAACTTACTAGACCAGAAAGGTAAAACGAAGAGTCAATGTAATACGATGACGAGAAGGCGGTTTTCTAATCTCTGCAAGTAACATTTGGTGTGTACCTTCAGTTGATCGCTTCGCTTCTCTTCAGGGGAGTCTTCACCATGTGTCAGTCCGCTAACTAAAGTACAAAGCAACAGAGCCGCCTAAAAAAAGAGATGTAAATAAGAATTGAATTCGTAACCGCTCTAGAGAGCCTCCCTTCACTAGAGAACTGTTAGGCAGTAACTCTGGTGTTATTTATTTGGGCTACGTAGCGCTTTATTAGGAATTGTATCTGCTTTCGAATAATTGTCTTAGTTTCCTTTTTAAATATTGTCAGTATTTCAACCAAAGAAACGCATACTGTACCTTTTTTTTCGCTTTGAATCTGGGCGAAAACATAGAGGAAAAACAATGGATCAATATGACCCTTGAAGAGTTTTTAAGAATCGACTTCCTTATTGTGGCTTTCGACAGTGATATCATAGAAATTATCCATCGCTCTTAAAGGTTCCTTCCCCAAAATTACTACGACAATAAGGCAATGTAAATGTTGAGTGTGTTTCCCAATAATACGACGCAATAGCCGCAGCCTTGACTAGAACTTCAAAAAGGTACCTACTCATCGGGAGTCCAACGAGGTAACTATTCATCTACCGCGCCTTTCTGCTGCCCACCTATCTCTTTAGGACTGAAAAATTTCACACCGATCTGTTACAAACCTGCTGCCTGACAAAGCCACATTCCATGTCATCCAGTAAAACAGTGAACACAAAGCTCCACAGGCCACCCACAAACTTCTGCCCAGCCATCTGTAGTTCCTGCCTGCCTTGCTCGCTTCCTGCAAGACTTGTGCATATTCCAAGGCCAATCCAACGGATATCCGGCCAGCGGTCTGTCAACAAAGGCACCAACCACGGTAGGGGCTCATCTTGATGGTCTTGACCACTTAACCAACGTAGGACCCAAGCCTACAGAGCAAACGATGTGTACTAAGCTTACAATAAATTACACTCAACTTCAATGAAGAGAAGAAATGAGAATCGTGGAAAAGAACAACGGCCCCACGAGGATTTCGAAGCTCAAACCTTCTGATTTCGCGATCGAATGCCCTGCAAACAACACTGAGGTCCAACGTCTACGTATGTGCGAACGTCTTAATGGGGAGACGGCGTATTTTTTAGGCTATCAGAGCTAAGTTGTCTCACAAAGTTATACATGTAACAAACACACAAACCAGTAAGTCACGTTACTTTAAAACCAAACAACTTTTTTGATAAAGATAAAACAAAATGATAAATCAAAAGGAGACCCGTACTTAGATGAGCTTTGTGCTCGCTCAAGTCTTTTGCCTGCATTTGTTTTCTTTCACAAATTTTTATAAACATTTCAATTTTTCTTGGCGTATTCGCGTGGTAATTGGCGCGCGACCGGCCATAATTGATTCCTTTGTGTACGCCCGACATTTGCCTGCTGTGTTCCTGCAAAATAAGCCACAAGGACTTATAACGAGTTACTAGGTTCATAGTAATGACACAAGCGGCAAGTTTCCTGTATGAAGAAGAGTGAGACAGATGGTAATCTTTTAACGCGGTCATCGAATTAAGTAAGATGCTAAACATTTTCTGAAAGAATTTGTAAAAGTATACAAAAAAAAACAAAGGAAACGAAAACCGTAGTTTCAGCTAACTGTCACATAATCAAAAGAAACAATGAGTTACCTTTTCAGGATCAATAATGGACATTTCGTGCGTAAGGTGCAACAGACATAGACTGGAATAATAAGTGACACCTTTACCCATGAATGACAAACTGGCGCCAAGTCTGCCCGCGTGGAACGCCAGAACCACCTGAAAAAGTGATATTAACGTGTCAACTACGAGTTATTTTAAAACAAACGGAAAGAAAGAAATCTTTCGAAAAATTGTAGTCGTCGTGTTCTCACCCAAAACAATGCGTCAATTTTTCAATCTTGCACCTATAGGGAAAACTGAGTGGTTGGGTGAGCTGGCTTCCACGAGATGCACCGAATAATGGTACTACCCGGGGTCAAGTCGGTCGGACGAATGAAGATGTAAAAGCAAAATGATGTAAATTTGTCAAAGCGAAGTCAGAGTCAAAGTAAAAGTCAGCGTTGAATTTGATGTCACTAGATCTCGATGTCAATGTCGAATTTACTCGCGCTAAAAGCCTTTTACTTCTAATTACTTTCAGATCTCACAGACTAATGGTAACTTTCTGCTTTTTTTATATCAGTCATTGTCATAATTTGCTTTCAGTTTTACGACGCCCGATTGAAAACTACTCTCAAATTGCTTTACCTGAACCAGTGATGTCATTAGTTGTATACACAGACTCATCCCTTGGGAGAATTTACAGTATGAACTCCACCGTGGTTGCGAGGTGACATGCGCCAAACAAACAAGTGACGTCTCAAGCACGGGCAAATCATAGAACTGAGGGTTGTCTGCTAAATCCAGATTCAGAGCTAAAGCGTATGCCAGGTCACCAATAAAAATTCTCTCTTTATCCAGTCTCCATTCACTGGTGTATCGCGATAGACACTTTACCAAAGTTACCAGGAAAGATAGGAGATGCTTGCGTAAAGCTCTGCAACGGAAACGGCGGTACAACATGGATTTACATTCAGTAAAGATTAACGTCGTGCGTAAAGTTGTTAAAGCTACGGCAAAATAACGTAGCGGTGCTCGCGCGTTCTGAAAAGGATGCTGACGACTGCTTTATAAAGGCTGATAGTTTCGAAAGAAACTGTTTGGGGCTGCGTCGGTGGGAGTAACGAAATAATTTGGATATATCAACAAAGTTGAAATGATAAATTGGCCACCGTAATGATTACAGAAGCTGACGTTTCGAGCGTTAGCCCTTCGTCGGAGCGAATAGAAGAATTGTGGGTTGTGTGTGCTTTTAAAGGCAGAAAATGGAGCTACGTTATTGGTGGGTGCATGGCAATGCACCCACCAATTTTTCATGTTTTTCTCGTTGCCATGCACCCACCAATAACGTAGCTCCATTTTCTGCCTTTAAAAGCACACACAACCCTCAATTCTTCTATTCGCTCCAACGAAGGGCTAACGCTCGAAACGTCAGCTTCTGTAATCATTACGGTGGCCAATTTACCATTTCAACTTTGTTGATATATCCAAATTAGACTGCTTTATAAGTTTTGCCACTCACAAGCCGAAACCTACTGACACTTTGGAGACCTTCAGCAGTCAGGACGGTTAGGCCGAGGATGAAGTCGACTAAAACAAAAAATTAATCTTTCTTAGTTGAAATTTTACGAATGACTTGACGTCTTTACCGTCTCTTAAAGCGCCACATCTTAACTTCAGCAAGCGAAAGAGGTTTTTTATACCTCTCCAAGAAATTGAGGTTCTGTTCAAAACAAAGAAGAATCTCCGGCTCACTTTGAAAAACGCTTTTTTTTGTTGTTTTTGGCTCTTTAAAAGGTGAATGGTTTTGCAAACATTTTAAATTGGCATTGCAACAGAACTTTGTTACAATTTGACGATAGCTGTGATGCTTACGTAGATGCGAAACAATATCACTTGGCCTCGTTTTCAACTCGCAATTCCATGCTTAATACCTCGCTTCGTTAACCAATCAGAATGCGAGATTTTGTTCAATGATGCGATTCTAAATGGAAACTTGTCTTATTCGCCCTCGGGGTTTCCATCCTCAGACCACACAAATTTTGGTGACTTGACATTGCTGTTTTTAGGACGGCTTAAAAAAAAGGTATAAAAAACATCTACAGCGCACACCTTTTTGTTTCAGACACTGTTTGCGAACCAGCAGTGCTCGTTTGAACATTTCTCAGCATCGTCATCTGTGGTCCATCCCTCTGTAAAACTACCCTAGCTACCCAGGCCACCACAGGCTCCGGAGGTTGACGAGGACTGGCTAAGATAATGTCTAACACCTTCAGTAACTCTATAAGCAAGTTATCGTCATCGCTGCTGTTTGGCACCACTTGCAGATATCTAATTGAATGGAATTGCCGAAAGCATAACGGTCAAACGTCTGCGCATGTGCGAATGTTTCACTCATTGATGGCATATCAAGTTGTCTTACACAAGTCAAAAACAACTACACAAGCCAGTAAGTGATGGTGTGTCTCACAAAAAGTAGTTCACTTAAAAATTAAAACAAAAGTAAAGACCTCTGCAGGGAAACAAGGGATACAAAACTGATAAAAGACCTTTACTGTTTAACTAAAAAAAGTCCATGAACATCTACAATATGAAGGAAATGTCTATTGTCTGGTGGTAAAACACATGGGAGATCAAAACACGTAAGCGAGCCGTTGGCTTACATGTTCTGGTTCTGCAAAATGATTAGCGTCACTGAGTTCCGTTAAAATTTCTTCCGCCTGATTAGTCTACGCTCACTGTTTGCGCATCGGCCCGAGCGTTTCTTCGCGAAGGGGAAAACATGATGCCTTGAGCTATACGAGCAGGCGAGATGTCTGCAAAGGAATCTAAAGGGATCTAATGCCTCATTATTAGGGACTTTAAGCAGTCAGGACGGCAACGCCACGGAAGACGTCGATTTAAAAAAGAGTTTCTACTTTAAGTTAGAATTTCGAAAATGGCTGCATGTGTTTACCGTCTCATAGC